TACAGGTAATCTAAGCAATCCATGAAAGCAAAGCAGTGCAACGCCAATGATGTAACAACACTATTTGAAATCCCTTCGTTACTAAGCAACGCTACCCAAGCAGTCAATACAGCTGAGTGCTTCCTCGGCTTCAGAAATGGTTTACTTATCTTCAAAACTGACGTAACTTTTTAACTTAATTTTTCAACATTGAATCCTCATTTTGGTGCTTAAACTTACACTGATAATTTAAATATACATATGATAACTGATAAGTTTTTGTGGACAAATCAGGGGCCCCAAATTGGAAAAATCTATATCCGGGATATCTGTCTAAATGAGCATTCTAACACATCTAATAATATTTTGTTGTGCTTGTGGCACTGACTTCCGGGGGCCAATAAACCTGTTAAAATATATTTTCCAGGAGATTCTTGCTGTCTCTTATACACATCTAGATGTGTATAAGAGACAGTATCTACCTACCTTCTGCCGCACCTCTAGACAGCCGGAAATAAATTTTCTTTTTTTCCCTCCATTTTTTTTATTTTCGAAAATTTAGGGGGGGGGGGGGATGGCCAACAGGGTCCCCCTTGAATCCACCACTGGTATATATAATCAATATAGCAGGGTCTGATAAATAAAAATCAGATACTTCAAGATCCACTTCCTTCCCAGCAAATCTTAAGTTGCATGATTTGTTTTAAAAATCACATTAAAACGCAAATTTATAACAGGTTTCAGTCTAAGAATTTGTAATAGCATATTGTGTATGTTGGGGTCAAGCTAGTGTCGCTCTGTACTGAAGACATGGATCATTAGAATTGCCAATCAATTATCACTTGATTAGAATTAGTTCTGAAGCACCACTGACATTAACATACAGGTAATCTAAGCAATCCATGAAAGCAAAGCAGTGCAACGCCAACGATGCAACAACACTATTTGAAATCCCTTCGTTACTAAGCAACGCTACCCAAGCAGTCAATACAGCTGAGTGCTTCCTCGGCTTCAGAAATGGTTTACTTATCTTCAAAACTGACGTAACTTTTTAACTTAATTTTTCAACATTGAATCCTCATTTTGGTGCTTAAACTTACACTGATAATTTAAATATACATATGATAACTGATAAGTTTTTGTGGACAAATCAGGGGGCCCCAAATTGGAAAAATCTATATCCGGGATATCTGTCTAAATGAGCTTTCTAACACATCTAATAATATTTTGTTGTGCTTGTGGCACTGACTTCCGGGGGCCAATAAACCTGTTAAAATATATTTTCCGGGAGATTCTTGTTTGCTTGTGGGAGCATGGAAGGCTGTCTCGATTTCCGGGAGGTTCCCGCGACTTGGAACCCCCTTTTTTATTAGGTTTTTAATATAAAATTATTAGACACTACATCACTTGAAAATGCTATGATGGACTATGGCTCAGTGTGGCTGTTCCAGTGGTGGATCCAGGGATTTGAAATAGAGGGGCCCAGGAAGGTACTGTCAGAGATAGAGAGTCTAAGCCTCAGCCCCACCATGGTAGGGGCTGAGGTAAGAACATTTATGATCATGTCACCTTTAGATGGTCGGAAGTGATATTCTCATACCTAAATTTGATTTTTTCTTTTTCCTTTTTTGTCCATCTTTCCCCTTCCCCTCGAATCTGCCACTTGGTGCTCACCCATAATGACCTATTGGTAGGTTGTTGCCCAGTAGTGAAAGTATGTCACATATCGTATTAATGTAATACTCTATAGACGCATGTAAATATTGAATACACTGACAGGAAGATAGGTATAATAATACTAAACATTTTCTATATATGCTTATATTGTTTAATCAACTGTTGGGTACAGTAAGGAGGCTTTTCAGACAAAAAACAAAATTGTATTTTATCTTTTAGCTCTCTTCCCACATGTCAAGCATCAATAACAATTATTTACAAAACTATATTCGCAATATATTACAGTATAAGGATAATAACATAGATTTATATATAATGCAAATACATCATTCAAAAAGACATTACAATGCTTATTAAAATTCATGAATATCGATTATTCAATAAAACACAAAGACTCCCTCTACTGGCTGATAGTTTCAGTGTTTCACTTTCTATGTATAAGCTTCTTAATTAACTTTGTATGTTAAAGTTCATTTCATTGTATTATATAAATTTTAATTAAAATGTTTTGTATTTCATATGTAACTTTTCTAAAACAAGGTTTGTATTCCAATCATATTTTAATTTTTTCAAATAATTATGGGGTTAATCTACACTGATATTGTGTATTAATTTGAATTAATAGTAGTTGATGAATATTCTAATTTCACTGAGCACTCAAAAGCTCATATATCAATAATTTAAATTGGAATTGTACTAATTAATTCAATATAACAAAAGAAAGTATTAGAGCAAAATTAAAATTTTATGAGGATTATCCTTTCAGTGTAAGCTGTTCATTATGTAACCACAGATATACTTTATATGATGAGCTACAGAAAAGCAAATATAATGCAATAATAATTTGAATTGATTACTTTTGATTTATCAGGGACGCCAAGCACATGACACAAAATAAATTTCAACATAAGTAAGTAACGATGAATGTTTTCGTTTTTGGTTATCTTGTGATTAGAATGCGAGCACTAAAATCATCCATACAAGTACCCTGGATGAAAACATCAAAATAAGGCCCTATAAAAAAAATTATTAGTTTATCACCCTATCTAGGCTGGAAAAGTGATGAAGGGTGGGGAGAAAGGAAGACTTTGTATTTTTTATTTTGCTAAAGCCAAATATCACCCTTGGGTTGTTTGCTGGTGCATAAAGTAAAACATGATTGAGATAATACAAACAATATCTACTATTTACCATAAAAAATGAAAAAAAAAAAAAAAATTTCTTCCAAAAAAAAAGAAGAAAAAAAACATGCACATGAGGGTGATAAACTAATAATTTTTTGTATTGAGCTTAAACCATGTTTCTACTCAGTACTTATCCTTGCAATTTACTACCCGCTATCTAAACAAAATTTCAGTGACACTAAATGCCTAAGATTTAACTGGAGCGTAAAAAGGAGGGTTTATTAGAGCATCTGCGTAATTATTATCCAGGGTTTGCAAAGGTCTTAAAGTAGCTAATTGGGAAGACGTGATAAATTATCAAGGCTACCACAATGCACTTGTCTGGTAATGCTATAAAGCTAACGTGTTCATACAGTCTACTTTATGTTGCAGTTAGTGCAACAGAGCACACTTATAGAGCAGGCTAACTCTTGACTTTTAATTAATCTTTATATTAATTTTTTTATGAAAAACACAACTTTAAGTTAATTGACTAAGTTTTATTGTCATATACTGTTCCAAATGCTATATTTATATTTTATTTTTTATATATTTTACAATTATGCAATCTTATAATATAATACAATTGTAACCACATTTCATTTTTGGCCATTTCTTTATTTTATACTTTAATATTTATAAATTTATAAATAACCAACAAATCATCATCATGCTAATATTTCTAAGTGTGCCCATTTCTAAGTACCCATTTATACACCTGGGTGGAGAGAAGCAATGCAGATAAAGTGCCTTGCTCAAGGACACAATAATGAGAACTTTATTTGAAACAACGCTTTTAAAACAACGGCACACACTTGTGCAGTGCGTTTGTAAAAGCAACATATAATACCTTTGTATTTTAAAGAACATAATTAAAAACACTATTTCTAGGTTTATCTACTATGAGTGAAAATGAAATGAAAATAATGTTAGAATAATTTGAATCACGTGAATCGAAGATGAGGCTGATCATTTGATTGTTACTGCTGAGACCATGATGCAATAGCCTGCATAAAACAAAGATTGAAAATAGCCATAATAAAGTTTTTTGATTTGCCAATTTAACGAATGGCCAAAGCAAGAATCCTATTACTCAGGTTGCCAAGATTGGTTCTTAGCAAATAAAAAAAATTGCAGTATAACCAGCCTAAAAATAAAAATAATTATAAGTGATGTTTAAAAAAGCATTCTACACTGGAAAAAATTAACTACCAAAAAGAACAAGTGAACTACAGTATGAGGCCATCCTATGATATGCCATAGTCAATTAAAAGTGAGAGCAGCGAGTACGCTCATACAAGATGATTTTCTAACTTATCCATAAAAAGTTCTAAGACTAAAAAACGAAAACTGATTTCAATGAGAAATAAAAATGAATTTACTATGAGAATTGTCTTAAGTGCACACACTTACCAAACTTGTTCACACTAGTCAAACAATATATCCTACAGAATATGCCATATCCTACAGAATATACCAATAGAACATAAAACAGAGACAATCATGATGGAAACACTTATAACGGAGAACGGTATATATAAGATGCAACCGGTCTTGCAACTACACACCAGGTATATTTGATGTGCGAGGTCATTCTGTTTGCAACAAAATGGCAAACATGACTATGTCAATGACGGACTAGTACTATGTCAACGATGGGCTTAACAGTTTAAGTATACGACGGAAGATTCATATGGAAGAGAACTTGGTTATAACTAGGTCTGTTTATGTACTGTGTAAATTTGCTAGACGAAAATGCAGCATCCTGGAAAATTCTGATTGATTAGTTATCAACAGGGTTTTACAAATCCTCCCTCGGTCTAATGTTTGTTGACCATTCCCTATTAAATCTAAATAAATATTGACACCGCTTGAGAGAGGCAAAGTGAAGGAAATGAATTGGTTTTTTGCCTCGTCATTTATGAAAACACAAACCTTTGTTACAGAAAAGGTACAGCACAAAAAAGGAGGGAAACCCACAATGGAAAAAGGAGAAATCAGAAGCAATATGTCAGAAATGTTTGCACTCATTTTCAAGAAAAGATTGAAAACACTACCTTTTCTCAATCGCATACACTGAGTGCCATTGAACGCTTATCTAGCACTATGTTTATTGGCGCTATATAAATGATGATTGATTGAAAAGGTGAAAAAGTTAGAAAAACAATGAAATATGCATACCTTGCATCTGGAGGCTTCTTTCCTTTAAGGTAGCCTTGCGTATTAGACATTAACATGTGATCTGCATCACCCGATTCCCCAGGATCTGCATACTGGAATTGCTCTCGCACTGCACTTGTGTTGCTATCACTATTAAAGAAAAAAAACATACATATCTGGCACATTAGTTCCAGCATAAAGGCATTCTATGCTCCCAGGCACCTGCATATGATGTAATTTTGACATTTCTATCTTTTTTGACCAAGCCTGAATACATACAATAATTTTTTCTCATTGGAATAGCAGAAGAAAGATGTTCTTGGTGGTTGATAATGGTTTTTAAAAACTCACTCTAAGTCTGGATGAGAATCAGCCTGAATGTGTTTATTTGCTAGATGAAGTACAGTACATGAAGTACTGTCGCTGGCAGATTTGCTTCCCTACTTACCTTCACCAAGATTTCAATTTGATTGATTGATTAACATACATGCAAAACATCTCGGTTACAAGTGGGTAAGGGATCAAGATTTGAAATACTTGACCTCAATATTGTTAAAGCCAGCTCATCACTATCAAAAAATAACAACCAATCAAAGACAGGGACACAAGAGACACTAGGCACATTAAAAATAATTGTAGTATTCTTCCAAAAAGTTAGAGAACACTACCATTTGAGCATTCTCTGTCATTGTTTATGTCAAAAAAGATGATAGAGTACTCAGTACTTAACAGTTTTTTTTTATCAGAATTGCTGATGCAGACTTACTGGGTTCACAGTATATTTCCCATAAACAGTGGCGGTGCTAGGATTTCCCCGATGGCAGGGCCACACCCTCGAAATGCAGGGCAAGAGCTGTACTTTTAGAAGTCAAGCCATCTGAGGGCCTTAGGCCCGAGCCGGGGTAGGGTTTTGGAGGGGTGTGTTTTGACTTTGAATCAGTATTCTCAATCAGTCGATTTGTTCCATATTGTTAATACAGTACATTTTATCAATCAGTGTTTTTGTCATGTTTGTCTTACCTCAGTCAATTTATATCATATTTACTGTATAGTACATTTTTTTTTTAAATGAGTGTTTTTGTCACAAATTGGCCTATACAGGTACAGTTGCAGATGAGATGATGCCAGACTTTTTTTTAGTAGGCCTATATTTGTAACAGTGTTCCCATCATGTCCATGCAGTACAATTTTAACAGTATTGCCATCATGTCCATACAGCATATTTTTAACATCGTTAATGTTCCCATCATGTCCATATGACTACGGTACATTTTAACAGTGTTCATAATCATGTCTATACAGTACACTTACCAGTGTTTCCATCATGTCTTTATGCCTACAGTGCATTTTAACAGTGTTCATGATCATGTCTATACAGTACACTTACCAGTGTTTCCATCATGTCCTTATGCCTACGGTACATTTTAACAGTGTTCATGATCATGTCTATACAGTACACTTACCAGTGTTCCTATCATGTCCTTATGCCTACAGTGCATTTTAACAGTGTTCATGATCATGTCTATACAGTACACTTACCAGTGTTTCCATCATGTCCTTATGTCTACAGTGCATTTTAACAGTGTTCATGATCATGTCTATACAGTACACTTACCAGTGTTTCCATCATGTCCTTATGCCTACAGTGCATTTTAACAGTGTTCATGATCATGTCTATACAGTACACTTACCAGTGTTTCCGTCACATCCATATGCCTACAGTGCATTTTAACAGTGTTCATGATCATGTCTATACAGTACACTTACCAGTGTTTCCATCATGTCCTTATGCCTACAGTGCATTTTATGTGTTAATCATCATGCCAATATAATACATTTTTAACAGTATTTATGGTGCTTTATAGAATAGAGAGAAAGGTTTTTTATTATTAATGAGCATGAATGAATGAATATAAAATAACTATAAAAGCAATTCAGGAGAATGATGACACATTTATATATGGTGGGAAAGACATCAATTACAGACAACACACAACTATCATAGATACGATTTGAATAATTGACACAGATAATAAAATAGATTTGTGTGAAGTCTTTTTTGTGTAAACCAATTGACTTTATTCCAGTAGACCTACATTTGAATGAGAGGTATACAAAAGGTACTTATCAACAGGACTTTCTTTTACAAACTTCAGTAAGCAAGAATCAAGAACTCATTTTGTCTTATTTGACAAAAATTATAACAAACAAACTTTATTCTTGACATAAATAAATTAAATTATGACAAATTGATGGCCGGAAAAACTCTCATTAAGGCTAAAATAAGCTGCTACCATGAGAGCCACTGCAGATAAATACATTTATTGATTACTCATGGTGCAATTACATATGTCATTATGATAGATTATTATTATTATTATTATTATTATTATTAGAAAATCGTAAAAAAAAACAAGTCCCTTAGTAGTAAACAGTGATAGAAATTCTTGTACTTTAGATGACTACAGGAAAAATTCAATGCAATACAGTATATTATATAAACAATGACTGTTTATGAGTCCAATGAAATGTTCGCTTTAACAAGACATAGATAAAATGTTAATGTTGATTCTTTTTTTCAAATTCAAAATAGTAAAGTAGAATGACTCACTTATTTTCTGTAATGTTTAACAACTAACCTAGTGGTTTCATTAGGCTGGCAACCCACCTTTTTTCTACCACTCTTAAGCAGTGTCTGAAACTACTGTACTTCAACGCTTAACCTTAATGTTGAAACACTTTTTGCACCAACTTCTTAATTAGCAGCGAAGAACGTCCCACCAGAAGATTAAAATCCCTCTACCCATTCTCCCAACTGTTCCATGACCTTTCATTTCATTTCATTTATTTGTCTCAAACAATTAAAATGTACATAAACAGAAATGGCAAAGAACAATCACAAAAGTACAAAAAACAGGGACAGGACACTCCAAAAGTAAAATCAATCACTGTCGAATGGAGGCCCTTTACGAGAAAAACACAATACATACAATATAAAATTCTTCAGAATATTAAAAAATTCGAAAGAGGTCAAGAGGTCGGAGCCACTTCTTCTGAGACCTGGTCAAAGGTATGTGGACCAGTCGCTGGTGGCAACCTACTGACTGCCAACTGCGTCCATTCATCGCTAAACCAATCACTAGACCCACTTGGCTATGATCTTCTACGAGCACAGTGCGTTCAACTGAATAGACTACACTCTGGACATGGCAGGTACAAGGCATAATGCACCGCATTGTGCTCTCAGACTGTAATCTCTGCCAGTGTGGTGCAGGGCAGACATCCACACACATATACCTACCAAGTCTCACGCATTCGACATGAGCCTCATGCTTTCCGACTAAACCTCAAGCTCTCAAGCCACTCACCTAAAATCTCATGAATTTCCACAAATCTCAAGCTTTATTTTATGAATTTGTTCAAAGAAAAGGTATAGATAAGTTGAATGAAACACTGAATGATAACATTCATTATTTATGTATGCACATTGTATGTGAAAGACTGTTGCCATATTATATTAGCCTAGATTGAATACATGACCCAGGCCTACTCTTGTCTGTGCTCGCAGGGTTGAAATATGGCTGCCCTACATATCTTTAAAATTTCAGTGAAAATGGCGATCAATACAACAAAACAATTAACAAAAAATGTCATTGTATGTCTACTTTTTTCTAATAAATGAAACCATAATTTTATTCCTGCGTGATCTGAACAAAAATGCCAAGAATGTATAGCATTGTATAGATATAAATGGAACAGAAAACTATATTTTGTTACACCACCATGAGCATACAGATGACGTAGGAACATATCTCAAGCTAGCTGATAACAAATTGGTTGTCAGATTTATACACAAAATATAGTAGCTATTTCAAAACCAACAATAATGGCATTGATTGCCTAAGAAAATTTATGAAATAAATAACATCAAAAGTTTGTACTCGGCCTACATAGGTTACAAGGAAATGCGATGTACTACTGTACATTTACCGTACTTTACCTGTGGAGATTCACACTTATCAAAAATCTTATTGTTTTGTCAAAACTTACTAGAATGCTGGTTCGTTTAACTAAGATGAATAAAATGTACACAAAATGGAAAATATTCCTTTTAAGTTCCCAAACCAAGTGTCATGTGATATGTTCAAGGAGTAAATTAAATTAAAATTCATAATTTACTTTATTGCAATCATATAACAGATTGAATAATACAGAAAAATTCAAATAGAAATGGAAAGGAGCAGAATTAGTCCAATACAAATACTGTAGAACCATTTTTATCAGGGGGTCTAAATTTTTGTGATTGATAAGTATTTCACAGACTTTTATTACCCGATTTAACAGTAGCTCAACTCAAATACCATCATCTACTGTATGCTGTGGTGTGGTGGACTTGACAATAATAAAACCTATCAATCTCATTATTATTATTTATTAGTATGGAAGTTTAGTTAGACGTTTGTTTAATTTGATGTCAGCATTGTTGGGGGAAAAAAACTATGCTCAAAATAAACTGTTGCTAGCATTCTATTTGAAGTGAAAAATTACATCACTTTGTTTGGTCTACCAATGAGGATGCTACATAAATCCAAGTGTAATGAAAGTCTCAGTACCTTTGTGCAGGCCTGGAAAAAAATTTTGTGTCTCCGACCATGAAAACTGTCTCGATAAATTGCCTCCAGCATCAAATATTATCTGTACACTATTTACAGCCCAACAGTTTATTTTGTTTGAATTTTTTTCCCCAAAAAATGCCTCCGGGATATTCATGATGCCTCTGACCATTGGTCGAGCACTTTTTCCAGCCCTGCATTTGTGACATTTATTACTGGGCCTGAAATTAATTTTTGATCATATTTTGTCTTATAAAATGAGATTGAAAATAAAAACATCATCAGCTCAATCTTCATAAGAATCTATGTATATGTGCTATCTACCCTTTGAGCTTAGAGCCTTTAAGGCTGTTTTAATTTTCAAGCATTATTGTATACAAAAATAAATGTAATATTCTCACCAATCTTTTGCTGCTTCTTCGTTATTGTTACTTCGATCAGGAAGGCCCTGCCTGAAAGCACCTGTTACCCTACAAAGAAAAAAACATACATAAAATGTAATAGGCCTTAATATATCATAGCTTTTGTTAAAAGAATAATCACAATCACTCCATAAATACAATATACTGGTAGGCCGATTAGAGACAGTACAATAAAAATTATATAATATTGGTTTATGATTTCTTATCAAAACTAATGTTATGTAATGCACTGTCATATTTGAGCACAATACAATATATTAAAAAACATTAAATGTTAATGGTACTGGCTGTATTGTATAGCGTGTATTACTAGACAGTCTCTATAAGCTTGAAAAAGCGAAGCCTTGAAAGAACAAAAATCAAAACCGAGAAATAAGTTAAATAATAACATATCTTGACCAATATTTGTTTTGGATTAACCTATAAAAGCACTGAACTCATTATAAGACTAATAATCCAATATTAATAAATTGAAATTCCGATGGCTTAAATGAGAATGATGATCATTAACAAAACGGAAAATTTAGTTAATTTGAAAAAGGAAGTGAATACAGTATAATTGTGGTAATCTTTTTAAAGAACCAGGACACCAATTGTGTTAATAATCATATGATTCAGTGAAGAAATTTTAAAGTATATTATCACGGTTGCTGGAATGAAATTCTCTGATATATTCGATTGAAGCCTATTCAAAACATCCAATTATTGAAACTGCTCTTACTGTATTAATTATAATTACTAGCTAAAAATAGATTGTCGGATTCATATGTTATTTGGTTTTAGTCTACCAAACAATAATTTGGCCTCTGTGCCACAAAATGTAACTTGTTTTTCTGTGATTTGAATAAATAAAGTGAAAATATAATAATAAATATTAAATAATATAAAAATAATTTCCAGTTGAGATGCACTATACATGGCAACATTGGTAAAAACATTCTATTTGGAATTGTAGCCAGTTTATCCGGTGCATATCTTGTTTTACATACCTAGAAATAATATCCTCATACTTTAGTAATTACATAATTTCTATTATCTATTGATATCGATATAATTTCTTTATGTCAAAATGCAGTGAGAATGTGTTTCTGAGACACAAAAGCGTTCTTGCTCCATGGATCATAAAATAAAGCTATTTTGTATCAATAAAAATAGACTTTACACAGAAAGAGAAATGTGACGTATGGTTTCCGCACTATCTGAATAACCACAATGTTTTGAAAAGTGTTCCTTGCATTGGGAAGTATGGTAGTATAATGCACATGTTCACATATACATGTGTACAGCACAAAAAACACAATAGTTTCTATATGCTGGAATAAATTATATAGGATAGACATATGATTTAATTAACATAAAAATTAATGCACAAATAATTAAGAATTATTTTTGGTCATTATTTGTAATTTGTGTCTGTATTTTGTCAATAATTTTTAAAAATACATGTATTACTTTAAATATCATAAACCCACTCAGTTATGTATTTTTAGTTTTATGTTTAAGAAAACATCTGATCATTTTCGGGAAGGCTTATATATTTTTACAACATGTAACACGTAAGTATCACTACATGCTTATAGTAATACATAAATGGTTAGAGTAGCTCCTACTGGCTGAAAGTTAGCTGAGGATTTTATAGGCTCAAATATAGGAGTATATATGTTATTGCCATTCAATATACAGTATAATAATAATAATAATAATAATAATAATAATAATAATAATAATAATAATTTGCGATTTTTAATAATAATAATAATAATAATAATAATAATAATAATAATAATAAGAATAATAATTTGCGATTTGTATAGTGCTTCCCATTGAACCAACCTCGAGGCGCTTGACAACAACGAAAGAAAAAGGACAAAAAATTAAACCATCAACCTAAATTCACAAAAACATCTAAAGTCTAACCAAGGAGACATCTCAGATGTCAACAGATTGAGTGCGACATCTGAGGTAAGTTGCAAACCACTGGAGTGCCTTGTCCGTAATACCAAAGTGACTAGAAAGTCACTACAAATGAAGCAAAGTAAGGCCTCTTTTAGCTTCATTTTAACGGTATATCTCCATGCCCCAACCATTCAGTCAAATACCTACGGAACACACACAGTTGTTAATAGGAAAATATAATTAATGCTGCTAAGAACAACCCAAAATGACATCATCTCGCAGTCGTATGACCGTCCTACAGCGAATCCAACTCAGCTTCCTGTAAGCGCTAGATGATGTGATGCTGTCTGTTGATTGTCGGTGGCAGTCGTTAAAAACGATCCGTTGAGCGCGAGCCTATCGGGTTCTATAGATACGCGTTGGGCAACGACCGTTTCTAGTGGTGTGAGCTCGGCTTTACATCAGTTGCTTCCTCAATCACTCTTGACACATTAACATTGTTTTTTAAAAAAACAACTTTTAAAAGCATAATCAAGTACTTATGTGGAAGGCCAGTCTTGAAGTTGAGATATACTGTATGTCACAATATTTACATTGCAATCAGGTATGTTTAATTAATAACAGGCAAGGATGGCTAAAAAAATAATAACAGGACTGAAGCTTGAATTTAAGCTCATTATACATAATTAAACACTACATGGAGTAATATGGTACAGGTTAGACAGGTGAAAATGCAACATGCATACATTATTGGCAGATATATTCAAGAAATTAATTAAAGACCAATCAATATTTTATACAACAGAGACCAATATTATATAAACAAAACTTTTAATAGATTTTGTATCTTGATTTTAGATTCAAGCTTATGGGTATGCAAATGCACATATCATAGCTTTCATTTAAAATCAAATGTTTAGCAAAATTTGTTTTTAAAATTATGTTTTAATGAGATTAAAATTTAAAAATTCTGGTAAAACTGAAAACTATCAGAGTATCCAATTAATTGTTTTTAGTTTTCTTATTTATTTTCATTTGCAATTACATGAACAAAATTTACTACTAAACAAATTGTAGCTAAAAGGTTGACAAAACAAACCCAATTAATGAATGGTTGTTAGATAAAAAAAAAACTGTTTGATAGCTAAAAATAAAACCAATTATTACTGTAAGTCATTTTATCTCAAAGCCTGTGAAATACGAGATATTTTAATTCTGCATTTAGTTCTTTTAGGTAAGCTTTTTGTGTTTTTATGTTTTTGAGTTCTATTGGCTTCTGTACATTTTCAAGGTGTGTAGGTCAGTTAAAAGGGTTGACTTGAAGATGACATGGCTAAACATACTGGTAATGACCATTTAAGGACACTTTTGTAGGCTGGTTGGTAGGTTTGAAAATCACAAAGTAAATGCAGTATATATTGAAAGTTTATAGGTGATATACTGAGCTACCAGGTAAACTAATGAATTCCATTGAGAATTTTAGCAAATGCCAGGATTTGTGTTGTTTTCAATGGTCCCTTTGAATTCAAATAATTCAGATATTATAACTGACACGTAAGTGAAAGGTAAACAAAAATATTAGCCACGCAAGCAATAAAACCAACAAGATAAGTATCGGGACTAACAATTCTGGTCTATCAATATGGAAGGTGCATCACAAAATGTGTTGTATGCCAAGTCAATTTGACATATATTCAAGTACAGCTTGCCTCCAAATTTAATACCACTTTCGCACCTGAAAATTTGAAGTGGTCTCAGGGTTCAGTCGCCAATTAGAGCACTGTTCCGTAACCTATGAAAAAAAATTGATGGGTCGCATAATCTCTTCAGATCATGAAAACTATGCTTAACATGAACGAAGGCAAACAGAATTAAATACAAAAGTGAAATTTAATCGTGACAAGTGCATCAGTTTACTTTTGTTATGTGTAAAAATATACTATTAAAACATTTGTACTTCAGGTATGACAACTTTAAAGTATTAGTTTTGTTCATTTCAACGTGTTGGGCTTCCAGCTGCAAATTATGAGAAAACATTTTTAAATTTAATGTATCTATGTCTTCGCATAACTCATAAATCTCTGGCAGAGCACTAGGAATTTATAATAAAGTGTTTGTTAATCATTAATTTTTAAAAGTCTTTAACTTACTGAAAAATTTGATAACTTAAGTAATTTTGTTAAATGAGTAATTCAAAGTTATATTTTCATTTTTTTGGGTTTTACATAGTGAATTTGTGGGTGATAATATATTTTAATCATGTCAATTCTCAACAAAATCAAGTGTGTTGTTCTTCCCCTATCCCTCACGCGTATAAAACGATGGACACTTTATAGACTTTGAGTTCGATGGGTCGCGTCAGAGTGCTTGACATATAATTTGGGTTGTGGGCTAAAAAGGTTGCGGAACGGGGGATTAGCTTTTTGTTAAAAGATTGAAGATTGTTATTTGGTTTTTTGGAAAGTGGTCTCAAAACAGAGGGGTCTTGGAACTGGAGAGGTCTCAAATTAGGCGTGCACTGTAAAAAAATAGCCCATTTTTTTTAGCATTTGAACACAATGGCCATGTTTCTACTGATGAACACAAAATAATAAATTTTTTTCAACTGCTTTTTTAAGGAGTGCCAGACAGCCTGTCTGCCTGTCTGCGTTTTTGCTTTTACGAAAATCGGTTTCGCGGCAGAAATTGTTTATACAACACGTTATCCAAACTGTATAGTTTCTTTCTCACCAAGACAATATCCTTCAAGTGAATTCCGTTCATGATGGCGAGGAGGAGGATACAGTGGCGGTGAGAAGGCGGATGCTTTTGGCTGTGGTCATTGGCACAACGAACAAGGACAATGTTAGTCCTAGAAAAGTGGAGAGCCTATAGGCCCAATATCCTCCACAAAATTATTACAAAAATGAGTAATTTCAACGCTCCACATGTTTGTTAACGTTTTAGCTTGTTTGTAGGACATGAACAAAGAGGTCTAATCATTTTGAAAGTTCACACGTGATACGATCTAGCTTTGCAGTGATTTGACCTGGAGGTCACATTTCACCTGATATTCGCTTTTTGTGTTGCAGCTAAAAACTGCACAGTCATAATCGGTTATTGACCGTTTAAACATGCTATCCATTGCATGTTTTTTTTTTCTCTTTTTTTAA